TTGTTTGTGCTCGATAATTGTTATTTCTTTGGCTGCTTTTTGCCTCAAAGCGCAATAGATATGAGGATAGTTATTTGAGCGCTAGTTTATATTGATTTCGGCAACCTGGTCTGGATTACATAATAACTCTAATTTGGGCATTATGTATTTTATTTAGGCTATTTGTTCCTTAGGTATCATGGGATGGAGATGACATGACTGTGTCTCAATGTAAGGCTGTTCCCTTTCTTCTTCTGAGATGCTCTTTCCATATGTAGAATGGACCTGGGGGAGAACCCGCCTGCTTGCCTGAGGAATAGCCTTATGCTGCAGATAGACACAGACATAGTTAGAAGGTAGCAGTGTAACTGTTTTTAAAAACCTGTGCCTAAGCCACTATTTATGAAGCGGTTCAGCTTTCTGGATACCTTAAAATATTCCTATCAGGGAGGATTTTCAGTCCTTTCTCAGGGATGCACTTCAAAAAAAACCCAACAGACTCTTTTCCCTCCTCACTTAAATGCAAACTGAAAAGTACGTTTTAATAAAAAAAAATATGCTAGGGTGAATAGTTTCCCCATCCTTCTAAACTCAGAAATTAATCAGGTTAAGTTTCAATGCTTAATTATTTCATTAGTATAAAATATCAAGTGATGAACTTAATTTCTATCAGTTCATTAGGCCTCATCTACATAGAAAAAGGTAACTGGTTGAAGTGTGTAAGTTCAAGTGAAAAAAACCAACCCACTCATACATGGGTAGAGATGGGTAGCTGATTCTGTATTATATATATGAAATCTAGTGCAATTTTCCTGTAGAAGCAACTCCTGTACTTTCTTCCAGCTGTAGTGAGATCCCATTGTGTCTTCTTCAAGTGGAAAAAGAAACAAGTATCCTCCCAAATCACTGTGCCCTACAGTGTGTACTGAATAGCCATGAAGAGTTAATATGCTTGTGTCAACTGACTGTGATATTATAAAAAAAAAATAAATATATTTTCTAGTTAGTAAAGAATATGGTTTATATTTTGAATCTAACCAAAATGACTAATGAGTAATTTCACTGAAGGGCAAGACTGTGAGTTATCATGAGCTTTTCTCCAGAAAACCGGTGTGTATGAGTTCAGAAGCATCTTCTACCAGCTTTTACATTGCTTTATAAAATGATGATGCACAGAATTATCTGTATGAGTATCGAAATAGCAAGGAACACTAAAAAATTCTTTCTTTTTAAGCTTCTGTAATATCATCTCAGTGTAGAGCCAGTGAGCAAGATCAGGCCAGGCTGGAATTGTGTTGCGCAATTGATGAAAGTGAATTAATTAAACCATTGGACCATCAGCCTGTAAGAGTGCAAGTTTCTGCTGCTGTATTATAGGCATAAAGGAAATATTTTCTTAAATACCATTTCCATTTTCATTTAAGCTTTTTGTGAGAGAAGCAACGTGCTGTAGTTCACACGATATTAATTTTATGATTTTCTTCTTTCTCTTGGAGCTGGTATAAAGAATGAGATAGTTTAAATTAGCAATTTAACTTTATTGTGTATGCAACTGTAGATGTTTATTTAGTGTTTGAAAGCAAATAATCTTCTGCATGTTTTTTTTTTAACAACATCATTAGCCTTTCCCCCTGTATACAATTTCTTTCCTTTATGACACAGTGACCATTTCTGAAGGCATTGATACTGTGAGAACCAGAGGAGGAAATAATCATGGGACATGTGAATCGAGGTTATTTTAGTTTCTGAAGACTTGTACAACCTTTTTTCTTGAGAAATAAACACATATTTTTGCGAAGCTGTGAAAATAAAACACAATAAATGCTTAATTCTTTTTCTGAGAATGTGTATGCTTCCAGAGGAAGTCCTAGCTGAGTTACAGATACTTGAAAATGATGACCCATCAGGAAACAGAGCTGAAATTTTATTTCATAAAGGGGTTACTGAAAGTATCGACTGTAGTTGTACGTGAATAGTGACTGTGTGTGTGAATGTGTATATAATGTCATTTGCATTTTAAATTTGTCTAGGAGCATCTTGGGGGCATCTTGTTTTCTTCCATTTTAAAAATCTGAATAGCACCTGTAATTAAGGGAGAAAACTGAGCCCTGGAAGCTAGGTAGGACTTCCATCTATTGATCTGTGTAAACCCATCTTACGCTGTCAGGGGAGCAGCAGTCAACTGCTGAGCTGCTTTGTCACTGACATAAGCTGAGAGAGGATTTTTTTTTTTTTTTTTTTTTTTGTTTTTTTTTAACCTTTTTGGATAGTAAACAGTTCATGGGGACCACACACAAATACTACGACAGAAGAGCTGTTATATTAAGTCTGTTGATTGGAGTCGATATTTAGCCCACTGGTAACGAAGAGCTGGTGCCTGGTTAGAAAACTCCCATTAATGGCTATTTCTAGGGGGAAAAGAAAATGAACTAAACTCATCTCTGAAGGTGAAAGCAAAATGTAGGGGAGAAAAAAAAAAGGAAGATGGACTGGGAAAAGCAGAGGTGGATTTTGAATCCCCAAAGGACACATAGTGTGTCCTGTAATGTTGTTTTGTTGGGCGGTTTTAAGGCATTTGTCTTTTCAGCACAGCCAGGAGAAATCCAGGCAAGTTTCCTTGGACATGTCCAATGTCCCAGATCCCAGAGTTGTGATTAAATGTCGTCCCCTAAAAGTTTTTCCAAGTTGTTTTTTTTTTTTTTTTTTTTTTTTGTCTATACTGTTTATACACCAGTCTATAGACCTGCTGGCTGGTTGAATTTTAAAGAGTGCGGAGGTTTAAAGACTTGTCCCCTGAGGGATGCTCCTGCCAGTTGGGAAGCGAGCGGAGGCTGCTCTGCAGAAGTTGTGCGCACGTGTCCTGGCTGGGGGGGCCGGGGCAGAGCTGGGGGAAACGCTGTCCTGCAGCTCAGACTGGAAAACGCTGCAAAACAAACCCATAATTTTCAGGTTGTTTAGTCAAAATATTGAGCTAATACCTCTGTTTTTTTGTTTTTGTTTTCTTTTTCTTGTGTGATAATTTATTCTGAAAGAATACAATGGGGAACATAAATGAATACATTTCCATACCCAATTCTGAGCCAGTGCTATGCTCACCAGGCAGCAATTAAAATCCTCAGTAGTAAGGAGAAAATGACTTCCTATAGTGTGAGAATAGGTGCAGGTTTGGAAAGACAATTTAAATAGAGTGTAAAATACTATTTCTTTGGAACGTGAAAAACAAGCTTTATGAGCCTGAAGTAAGAGGCTATTTGGAAATGTTTAGCAAATTTCTGAGTTAAAAGTTTTGATTAGCCTGTTGTGCTTTGTTTCTTTTGTTAGCATTTACTGTTACTACTAACAGCATCATGTATGTTTGTGTCCTGCCTACAAAAAGTAAAATGTTTACCTGCTTTGTTTGTATTTTGCTCCTCACACTTCCATAGTGGCCACTCCCAGCAGTCAGGATGGTGCTGGAGCAATTTCTTTTGGAGAATATTATATGTACTACTATTGTTCAGAGTTAATAACCTTTCTCAAAGCACAGTATCGGGCTTTCATATTCTCCTTTATCTGTGCTGACAAAGTAAAAGTTCCAAAGATTTCTTGAACTCTCTTATGTGACTTAGAAATTCTAGAAAAATTGACTTTTTCACTTTCTACTGTATGGTGATTTACTGGGGCGCATCATATACCTTTAAAATGTTGCAACTAACGTGCTCATTGTATTGAGAGGCATCTTTTTCCTGAACTATTTGTCCCTTGCTGATTAACTTGCATGGGTTCTTCGTGTTTTACACTATCCACTGAGCCATGCAAATGTTTGAAGTAAATAGTCATTGTGGTGTATAGGAATTTAAATACATAATTTCCCCTAATGGGAGTTGACTGTTCAATATGCAGTAAACAGAGTTCAGCCTGGAGAGTCCTAACATCTTAGATCAAGTTCTTAAACCCCAAAGTGCAGCTCTGGAAATTTGCAATCAATATGCATTTTTCTGAAAAAAAACCACACCTTGTGGGACAACATATATATAGCAGTATGTCTGTCTCTGCTGGTCTCCTGCAGAAAGCGAATTCTGTAGCTTTGTTGACCAACTGTGTTGACGTCAGCTGTCTCTTCTTAGCTGAAGCATTTCACAGAGGGTTTGTTTTCCTAGTTGGGAGCGAGGAAATAAAGACTTTTTTTCTGGAATCTTGCAAGATCATTGTTTAATATTGGTTGCTAGCTGATGTGATAATTAACTTTTTTTTTAATAAAGAAAAATGTTGACTAGTTTGAGAGCATTTTTATATTTTAATTAACACATTTTATTTGCCACTAAACAGCTTCTTAAATAAAATTCTGAAAGAAAGAGTGACATTATCCATTCATATTACGGTACGAAAGTAGATCCAGTAGATTTCCGCCCCCCCCCGCCCCTTCTCTTTATTAATAGTGAGGCTTGCTTGTGAAACCCAAAGGGTTAATCATATAAATTTCTCCTTTGGACCAGCAAACGATTTCCATCATTTTCAGCATTTGACTGTGGAACATGTATAGAGTTGTTATACCTCTCTGTAATTCATTCTGCTGCCAACTTCATTCCCTTTTCTCTGCCTGCATTTTAATTGAAACAACATTTGTATTTTTGAGCCAGGATCTGTCAGAAGTCCCTGTGGCTAGTCTGTGGTACAAGTAGCAGCAGACGTGGCTTACCCATATGGTGTGGTGCTTCTTGTAAAATCCATATGGCCTTGTTGAAGGGAATCCCAGCGGGGATGTGAAGGGTGTTAATACCCTTCAGGCCAGGCCTTTCCCTCCTGGGGCTTCTATGGCATTGTCTTTGCAATCTGCCAAAGCACAAACTTAATTCCTTTTTAATAATCAATTATTTCAGTCCAGGAACGTGTGCTGTATTTTTTGCGACCATATATTCCTTGAATTTATTATTTGTTATGAGTACTTTTTGCTATTTTTTAAAAACAAGCGTGCTTGCTAGCAAATACAGATAAAAGTCTTTTCAAAATCCTAACTATATTTCTTTTACTTGTATTTACAGGAAGTGCTGAATAGCGTTCCAAAGTTCTGCTTTCCTTTTGACATTGAAAGGTATGTGTTACAGTTATTGCTTATTTAAAAATATTTACTAGAAATTATATTTAGCATAATTTCAAGGAAACATTTAAAGAACAGGAAAACGTATTGTACTCCCTAAACTTGCACCTGCAGATGAGAAGTACGTGTCCTTTTGTGTTCAAGTAAGTATGAAATCACCAATAGGAAATTACCTTGCAAAATGCAACCTTTACAGAATTTTAGGGATGTCTCTTTCAAGATAGAGCTATGTTCTGGCTCCCAGTTTTGTCCATTATAATTGTAAACACCATCTGCGTTAATATAAGGATATAATATAGTTTCCTTCAAATGGCAAGCATCATAAAAAATGCACCAGGATATAAAAGCTCGCCAAACAGTACTGAAAACATGTTGAGTTCAAAGAAATTAAGACTTTAATTGCATGGAAGTAAGTAAATTGATTTTTGTCAGAGAAGAATCAGGACCATTATTTATAACTAATTAGTCCTTACCTTTCTGGTATCAGTTACAGTCTAGTGTCCATGTAATGCTACCAGTCATTTAAATTGTTCATGTAAAACTTTTATTAATTAAAATATTTATTTATATTTATTTAGACTTGTCAAAATGATTAATGGTAATTAATTTAATCAGTTGTACTCACTCAGTTTGGAAAACTCATATTGTCCAAATCAGCAAAGATTGAATTAGAAGCTTGATTTGCATAATTAACAAAAGATGCACCCAGGTAGTATGCAGACTGAGCCAGTTTGAGAACAACGTTGGCATCAGTTGTAGATGGAGACTCAAAGATGAGAAGCATCTATCGGATGCAAGAAGCTACTATCTGTGGAGTAAAATGTTGTGTGTGTAGAGGAAAGAAGAGAGGCTTTGCAGAAAAACACACTGGCAAAATAAATATCATAAGCACAACTTCCCTGAAGTAAACTAGGTTCATTTAATCTTTTATAGTTGAATTTAATTAAGTTGTTTGGGTTTTGAACTGGTTAAGCTCACTGTCCTTTAAGCTGTTTTAACGACTTAACTAATACAGTTGTCAGTGTTGGCTTTAAAGCATTAAAGTCTTTAATATGCTTTAGATATGTACAGAATTCTGTTTAAAATTGGTAATGAAGATGAATAATAGAAATGAAATTTGAGGATAACAGAAGAAGGTGAGGTTCTGTTGCTGCCATCCAGTGGCAAGAAGATAATCAGTGGCAGGAAATAATTATTTTTAAGTATCTCATCTTGAGTTAACTATTTCTGTTGCACCATTCAGAAGACATTTAGTTGCTTTCATGAGTTGGATAAGCTTAATCAATAAACTGTGGGAATAGATGAATTTATAGCATAGCTAGGTATGTATTTTAGCTGAGTATCCGAAGGCGGGAAAAACTCAAATAAAAAAAGAAAAAGTTATGAGATATTTGTTGTTTGTTAACACCCTCTCGTTCCCACTCTTAGCCATGCTTTTTGACCCTTGGCTTCATATTTGACTGTAAAGCAGTGCTCTCAAAGGTGCAAAATTTCTACAAATTTCGTAATTGGCGTTAGGGCAGAGGAAGGAGAGGTTCTTGGAAGCTGAGGTAGACTGACAAGGGGAAGAAAACCGACACGTTTGGTCTGGCCTGCTGTCTGCTCAGGCCGTACCACGGTACCTTTAACATCAGCCACCACACTCGCAGCTTCGTGTGTAGCTGGGAGCTGAATTTTAGGGGATTTGTGGGAGAATGAAAGGCAATGAGACAGTATGAGAGTATAAAAGAGCACGGACAACGAGGAGGGGCAGAGCTACTGTGGGGAAAAGGACAGAAATACTGGAAGTTCATTCAAGAAAGCAGGCAACTGTTTACTGTCAAGCTATTAGTGTGAACAACTTACTAGCTGTGTGGTGTATGTACCAGTTGGTACTCAGTTCAATCGTTTCTTATAGTGTAGGAATGACCACCTTTTCTAAAGAATACTGTTCAGTTTTCTTCTGCTTTCTCAGTTTTAATTTTTGTTTTGAAATTTAGACTGATAAAAAGCATTGAAAAAAACACTGCTGTACCTCCTTTTTATGTGGCTTTTTTCCAATGGACATTTGAGATGTGACAGGGATTTTAGTGTTTGTCTAGCTGTAAATGTGCTTTTCACTTGTCTGATCAATATGTATATAGAAAAAAATATTTTTTTTTCCTTGGGTAGAGGACTATGATAGACCATACACCTAATACTCCCAAGTATTTTACGGGCAGTTTCAATGACAATTTCTGTACAGAAAGCTTTGATTGAAGTGAAACACAAAGTATCTGTTTCGTTGATTGAGCATACTGTACTTTACATACATATAACCTGTGATATGTGTACTATACATATATAAACCACTCCAAGCAACATCTGATCCTGGTGAGAGCTAGAAATCATCAGGGCAAAAGTGGTAACTTCCATTGATGCTGCTGATCTACATGCCTAGAATAAAATAATGTGACTAAGTCCCATAGATTGCTTCTGGGCTCCTACTGTAGAGGAGAGCTGGAGGGAAGGGAGTGTTATTTCTGTTTATACCTAAATAAAACTCATTACAGTAGGAAATCTATATTCTTCAAATTATGGAAATAGGAAAGTTAAAGTGCAATGGTAATACCAGTCACTTGTTTTCCTCCACCTCACCTGTATTAATTAGTGAGTGAATTGAAAAGTGAATGAAATGAGAACATGTATTTGATTTTGTTTTATTCGCTATACTGTAGAGATACAGATTTGGTTCTTACTATTTGATGCTGCTTACATCATCTCACCAGCCATACTTACTTCATCTTTTATATAGATGTTATAAATAGCTGTACACTGCTCATTCTAATTATCAAAAGTATATACTGTGAATGGTGATTAAAAATCTATAGCTCAAGCCAAAAAAGGCATAATAGTGTAATGTTTTGACCATGACTTAAACTTTGAATTTTATATATAATTTTTTATTGAAAGTAAGCGCATAATTTTCTTGCTGCTGGTTATTACATTTTATTTTGAAGGCATTAAGAAACGAATTGCATGATAGAAGTTCTTGAGCATTTGCTCCAAGAACCTATGTCTCTTCTGTGTGAATAAATGATTTTAGGCTTAATAAATGGCACAATTGTATAACGTTCTAACAGTCTGCTTGTACGTATTTACGAATAAGTTCCCTTTTCTCTGCTGCAGAATTCCTTTCTTTGTTTCTTCTCATAGGGAGTAGGAGGGAGCATTTCACAATTTGAGAATGTAGAGATTTTACTTTCCTTTCAATATAATATAATAATACTAATATGTCAGAAAAAGCACCTTGTCCTCTCTTTTGTTCCTTGCATCCTTTATGAAAATTCTGCACGGTTTTCTTCACTTCTTTTTTTTTTTTTTTTTTTTTTCCGTTTTTTTTTTTTTTTTTCCAAAGAGAATATAATAATACTAATATGTCAGAAAAAGCACCTTGTCCTCTCTTTTGTTCCTTGCATCCTTTATGAAAATTCTTCCCGGTTTTTTTCCTTCTTTTTTTTTTTTTTTTTTTTTTTTCTCCAGTGTTCTTCTGTATTTCACTCTCAACCCAAAACTCAGGCATAATTTTGCAGAGAGCCCACACCTCAATCTTTATGTCCATCTGTTATTGATGACCAGTGAGCACGCAACTTCTCTTGTTCCTTGTGGACCAATTTCAAATTCAGACCTAAGCTTTGCTACGTCAGTTTGACCCCTCTGTTTTATCTGTGCTTTGAATCTCTCTCATTTGTCTCTGCGATAAATACTTCCTCTCTCTCTCCTTCCATTCCTCTGTCTTGTCTATTTCAGGGAGCGTTTCTTCTGAATGTGTAGCACGTGTGCCTTTTTAGCCTAAGACAGTTTGGAAACTACCTGTAGGATCAGCACGGGGACAATGTTGTGTACCTCATTAACTGCCTTTACTGCACTCACCCGATCGTAGGGAAGTGTTGTATTTTGGCGTATAAGAAGTGGCTCTGATGCTGATGCTGTAGAATATTTCTCATTAGCGGTAGGATATTGCTCAAGTATGGGAATTCCTGTGCAGATTATTTAACTCATGATCTATTAGAGTCATGACAGGAGTGACATCACTGTCACTCGTCTGTTCAGTGCTAATGCTGTTTCTGTTGGTATTTCTGGTAAAAGTCGGTGTGCAGGAGCACAGCTATGATCCAGACAAGTGCAAAACAATGGCTGTAGAGATTGTTGGATTTGCAGATCTTGTGAAAGGTGATTATACCCAGTGAGACTTTGCTAGCTAGTTGTGGTTTCTTTTAATGCTTCTATTGTTTTGAAAACATAACTCCAATTATAAGCTAACTATGCTTTTTATTTGTGGGAATTTGCGTATTTGGTGTAGATTTTCATATCTTCTGCAGTTTTCTTCCTGTTCCTTTTCTTTCTGATGTGTAAGAGATTGGGATTACCGGGAAGTAGAGCTGAAGTCAGATTGCTCAGCTGGAGCAGAGGAGCCCTCCACATAGGGAGCCTGAGCTGTGGGGTCATGGATCACGGAGTGGTCTTGGAAGTGGAGAAAATAGTCCCTGAAGCTTAGATTTGGGGCTAACAATTAGTTGAAGGAGGAGATCCAACCTAGGGTTACTGTCTGTCCAGTCTCTCCATCAGCTTTTACCACTACCTCAACATCTGACTTTCAAATTGCCACTTGAGACAGTTTCTAATTGGTTTTCTGGCCTGGGTAGCCTTAGGATAAATGATTGTTAGGATTTGCTTTTCAGCATCAGATTGGGAGGTGAAATACTTTTGAAACTTTCAGGTTTAGGTAGCAGCCACCAAGGCTTTAATCAGAACTGTGTATTTCAGTTACATTGGTCAGGTACGTGTATGTTACGCTTTATAATTAATGCTACCAGTTGCTTTGTTTTCCTTTAAAAATAAGTCATCAAAATCTGTATTCCCATGCATAAAGTCTTTCTTTTTTTGAAACTCACTGAAAAAATGAGGTCTCTAAGTCTCTCTGAAATTAAAAACATTTAAAAATTCCTAAAATTTGAAGAAAAATAGTTTCAAACATCTTTGGTGTCCTAAATAAATTAATTTGGAAGAAGAGCAATTCTTACTGAGAACAAGGGCTAAATTTAATGATTAGACATACTGTTTTTCATTTGAAGAAGAGATTTAATTCCTGCCTGAATCAGCTTTCTCAAGGCAGCCTTAAGGTGAGGCCTGAACAATGGCTATAGTGTAAACAAAAATATTTAAAATTGCTCTTTACCTACTCCACATGTACCAAGGAGCCTTTTCTGTGTTGTGTACTTAGAAAATTCTAAAAACTACTTTTATTCCTATAGTGAACTGTAATAACCTTGAAAGAGCCCATTGTCGTCTGCGGGGTTAATAAGTGTTTACACACATTCTTTTCTATTAGTGATTTATTGTTGTTAAACTCAGATTAAATGTAAGCATGCAGGGCAGGAGTCAAAATAAGTCAAAAGCAAGGCAGAGGAATAAGTGAGGAGAAGGTCAGCGATATCTGGAATGACTTGTGCCTGCTCTCCCCACACAAGTGAGATCACGCTCTCTTCAAAATAGACCAGCATTTTGGAGAAAGCTTTTTGAACCTTGGCCAGTTGATCTTCTGCTCCAATAGAAAGCCCAGATAACATTTTGTGTAGGGAATTCTGGTACATAATAATTACGTTTTACCTGTGTTGATTTTCAAGTAAGGAAAACTTGAGAGGCATCGTTGCTGTGGTTCAGTAGCCACGCCAGGAGCTGCTGCTTGCCTCTGAAAGTCAGACTTGATTCCTGAACAACTTGAATGTGCTGCAGGGAAACAGAGAGGCATGAGCCCAAGTCACACAGCTAACGTTTTTATATATTATGGTATTTGCAATATATATATGTTAAAACTGTAGTGCTAGCGCTATTTGAATGTTTTTTGTCTGGTTTATACTTTGATTGTTATCTATTGAAATCTCCAATCATCGTTTACTGTTTCTGCAAGGCTTGCATATCGTCAGTTTTAATTCTGCTGAAGAGGAGTAAAAAACCAGGCATTCCTGCTGCCCCCACATCTTAAGTGGAATTCTCAAATTAGAAACACAGAATTAATTCAGTATTTTAAACTCTGATTAGTAAACGTGGTCCAGATGGATGGTCACTGACTTCTGCTAGCTGTTCCTTTGAGGCAAATGGGACCAAATGCAAACTTTTGGGTTCTTTGTGGAGATTCAGTTTTACCCATGGAGTTTTTCTCAGTTTGAAAATCTGGGACATGCTGCTTACGTCTCCTTTTAAACTCTGTGGGAAGCAGTTTTCAAGGTGGGCCACTTTCACACTGACTGTTGAAACATGGAGTTGTCTCTTCTAAAGAAGCAAAAGGAAGACACAGAATTGGAGGTGGTAAGGTGGCATTGGAATTCCCTCCAACTGAACTGTCATACCTTGGCAGGGCTTTTTTGAATAGAGAATAGCAGAATTTAAATCTCATTTTTAAAGTGGTCTTGCGTAGTGACATTTTAATTGCAATACCGATTTATTTTTTTTTTTCCCATGCTGTCTTAAGGTTTTGGGAAGGTAGGAGGCAAATAACTGAAAGTAAGAAAAATCCTTACTGATGTGACATTTTTGGGAAAAGGAGTTGTTTTCTAGCAGTAATGGAAGGGTCGTTTGCTTGACGTACATATACATAATACATTAAAAGCAACGCCTGCATGGATGGAGATCTATTAGCAATTGTTTCTTGTGAATTATCAGTGATCTTTTTGAGTAAGATAGTGCATAGAGACCCCAGCCTAGCTGTGCCAGGTGTTTTGTGGTGTAAGGAAAAGCTGATGGTGGCTGAGGAGAGGTCCAAGCCTGACAGTGGGAGCAGGGGGCAGCCGAGGGGGCTGTGCCTGGTGCGTTCCTGGTGCTGCCCACTGACCAGCCACCCCCGGGTCACTGTGTCAGCCCCCAGCCACAGCCCACGCGGGGATACTGACAGCCTGCCGCAGCTTTCGGTGGCAATCTGCTCTCAGGAATAAAGGGGAAAATGCAAAGATGTGAAATGGAGAATTGCATCGTTAGCAGGGGAGTAATAACGCTTTGTTATTGATGGCTCTCTGTTGTGTCAGGCATAACATCCAGGCAGCGTGCTGGCTACGCAGAACCTGGAAAAGTGAAGGACTGAGTGAAAGCTGCTGAGTGTTTACTGTGTTTCAAGAGCATGCTAGGTTGTTCCAGTCTATTGAACACAAGCGAGGAAAATGCTTGTTTTAATGATTTGAGTTTAATTACCTAACTAAAAAAAGTCTGTTAATTATCATGGTATTCCAATAGTTATATTGGACTAAAGGTATCATGTAATGTCATATATGCTTAGCACAGGATTGTGTTTCGACCTAGTCATTGGATGTTCATTAGGGACTAGACCAAATTGAAACGAGTGGGTAGTGGTACCACTTAACTAATCTTTAAGCTTTTTGTCATGCATGTGTTAAACAGTATAATATTCATATGTCCCACGTAGCTTTTCTTGCCCTTTGATCATCCTCTACCTTTTTTCCTAGGGGAAAATTTTTATATTTTATTTTGGTGGAGATTTAGGAAAACAAAAACAAAAAACAACCACAACCAAAAAAGCCAACCCATACTGAAGGGGATAAATTAAAAAAGTACTTTGTGCTCTTAGATTGGAAGACTGAGAGATCTGTGATGCTTCTTAGCTTTTGTGGGAATTCATTTTCAGCTTGGCATCTAAGAATGAGCCACATATTGCACATGTTAGCGATAGTGCTTACTAGCAGGTGCTTGGGTATTCTGCTGGAGAAGATCACATAAGGATGGGAAAAGAACAGGGGGCAATAGAATTACATGTAGAATTACTACATTTTATGTTTTCAAATCTCCATGCACTCCCCATCGTAACTTTGTTTTCATTTAGTTTTTAAAACTTTAAAGGTCCCTTCCAATCCAAACCATTCTCCTATTCATTAGATGCCACGCTGCCTCTCCTGGCTGAAAATGCCAAGTCTACATAAAGCTGATTATCTTTGGGAGATTTTGGAAAAGTGCAATAGGTATTTCAGTGAGCAAACTTCAGATACAATTTATTGGTGTTCTAAAGTGCTTTACACTGAATATAGTTTGCAATTTCTGTGAAGATCACTGAAGTTTGGCTACATTGAAATGCGAGTCTGTCCTGTGCTCTCACTGATCCTCTGCCTGCAGCTGACAAATTGCACAAGAGAGAAAGGCACCTGGCTTGAGAGTGTAAAGGAGATAAGAGACACATCATGGCAGTGAAGGTGCCATGTCTTCTTAAAAAGAAGTTGGGAAAAGGTTCATACTGTCAAGCAGAAAGTGGGGGGTCAGGAGTGGAGGTTGGGGTTGGGATCTGGAGATGAGCATGAGGAGTCAGAGGTGACAGCGGTGGGCAGGCAGAAACTGAGAACAAAATGGATTAGCCTGTGCTGCCGGGGGAAGGCTGGCTGAGCACAGCTTGAGGTTAAGAGGAGGTGGAACATGAGGCAGGGAAATTTTTTGTAAACTTACTCTGTCTCAAGTGGGTACATGTTTTGATGCAGTCTTGAAGCTGTTATTATTATTTTAGCTCTTGCTCTGTTTGTTCTTGATGATTTTCTGGCTTTTGGATTTCTAGAATCATACAAGTTTGCAGTGGAAAATAAACTTGGCAAAAAGTTGCTTGTTGTAGTGCTAAAAAGGGAGGAGTGTGTGTGTCGATCCATGGGCAGGCTACGGGTTTAACCAATAAAGCTATTTTTCTAAAGCAAGCTAGTTTTCTAATGGCTGTCTTAAGCCGAGCCTGTCTTATTAAATTATTTGTAGAATTTTAAGCTTATATTTTGGTTTCCATTTTCCATTGTTGAGATGTGCTGAAAGCCAACAAGCTGTGCAGGCTTGTACTGGCTCTGCTTAGGCCATAGCTAGTAGAAGACTGTATGAAGTGCCCCATTCCATTCAGACTGAGGGGCCAGATCCCATGGAGCACTTCAGCTGGAGCACGGGGCTGGGATGGCAGCTTGAGGCAGGGCTGAAGGAAGGACCGGGCTCTTCTGCGCTGAGGAGGCAGCCTGGAGGGTGGGAAGGGAGAGGATAGTGAAGCTTGAGCATGAAAATGCCTGAGACCAATTACTTTTAATGCTCGTGTTTTATGTGACGTAGTGGTTTTATGTTCTGCATCTAATTTTTCAGGGTGTCCCAAAACCAAGTAGGACAGCATTTTACCTTCGTGCTCACCGACATTGAAAGTAAGCAAAGGTTTGGATTTTGCCGTTTGACATCAGGAGGCAAGATCTGCCTCTGTATTCTAAGGTAAGTTGGTATAAGAAAAAATGAGTCAAAGAGTGAATATAAGAAAAAATCATATTTTGCAAATTCTCTGATAATGTGTTATACTTCTTTATCAGAGTGTCATTTATCTGCAACAGTGTTACCGTTGATTTATCATGAAAAGGGGTTCCAGGCCCCATGTGATCATATTTTTGTGTGAGGTTAAATAATGTGAAATCTCTGCTTAAAAGCGGAGAATACACTGCAGCTTTAGAGGCTTTGAATAATAAGTGGATATTTTTACTGTCTAATGAGATTTTTGACGAGTATCATGTCAATTTAATAATAAAGTGCACTATTCTGTATTCCTCTCCTTGGAAATATGATTTTTGGGGGTGTCTTCCATGTTCTGTGGCCAGACTGTATCTACTATAAGAAATGCCACAGCCAGATAATTCTCAATAAAGAACATGCCGTGTTGTTGCCGAAGAGATACTGGTAATGCAGAAGTTGACCCCAGTGAAATACTTTGTTTCTCCCTCTGCTTTTTCTTTCTTCTCGCATTGGATAATTGTTTTGATAATGAAGAAATGAATTGTTTAGCTGTCCTAACCCCCTTTTAATTATATTAATTAAAAGGCAGAGTGCTTTAATTAAAAAGCAAATTTGCCACTTCAATGAAGGGCCTAGAAACCTGTAATGTCCATAGAGGAAATGGGAACATACAGTTAAGCAACACATAAGAACAAGATTGAAGTATAATTGCCTCAAAGTGAGACTCCCCAAACAGAAGGTGAAAGAGGAGCCATGCGCTGCCAAAGAGCCAGACCTGTTACAGCAGAGGGACATCTTGGAGAATTTTGGGGAGTAAGCTAGGAAGCTTATGGAGAAAAGCAGATGATCAGGTGTTTGGACAACATGGAAGTCAGGCAGTCATGGAAGTAGTCATTAGGATAGATCACATGAGTTAGGGAGATAAACCCAACACCGACTTGCAAAAGAGTATCAGTAAAAGAACATATGAAGGGGAAAAAAAGACCAGACAATATAGAAACTTGTAGAGTAGTGCTTAAAATTATTTGAAATATCACATCAAGACTTTTGTGAGCTTTTAAGCAGATTCCAAACTAGTGTTGAGAGCCGGTACAGTTGACTTTAATTTAAAAATAAATATTTTCTGTAAGTATTGCAAAAAATAATAATTACTACCATATAATGAAAATACCAAAAGGAAAATATTTTATTCCGGAAATTAATTGACTTTCTGTGACTGTGACAATACTTGTTTAATAATATTTCAGGATTTCATTCTTAGGATTATAGAGTGTGTAATAACCTTTTTCTCTGTGATACCTTTTGTTGTTATCTTTCTAAGGCCCAGATAGAGAATACATGTGTATGCTTTTAGCTCTGTTCTTTGAGAACCTTTTCTTTCCTTATCAAGCTAGAAAGAAAATTATTACTTGTACTCCTAACATTGTCTGTCTGGCTTCTAATGCTATAATAACAAATGTTTAATCAGTTACACACACACAAGTATGCACATTTAAATACTGGATGTAGTACTGCAAAGCAAAGGATGCAAATTCTCCGCTGATGTCAACTTGGGTATTTCTTTTAACATTTCCCCATAGGCATACATCAGCTAAAGATTTGTCAACGGTCTGTTACTTGGTAGCAATAACTAGGAAAATGAAAACTGGCAAGCTATAATTTTTCACTGAACTGTAATCAAAGCATTGCCTTTATTACTTTTATTATGAAAATTTTAAATTTACAATGCATAGCTGAATGCGTAACAGCACTAGCTTCATAGCATTGTACTTCTAGCTTGATAGACCATTTCTCTCCAATTTGTGTTTGTTGTGTTTAGCTCAGACAGAAAGACTGCATCAGTATTTCCATCAGATGTGTTTTAGTATCCAGTCTGGTTTCTGCTCTGAATCCAAGAATCGTTAGAAGTGACCAAGTGAAAGAAGACTCACTAGCAGATTTCTTTTGATGTTTTATCTCACTTCGCCTTGTACATGCTTGTTGATCTTAAATTGACCTAAATCAAAAGAATCTTAACGAATGAATGCTGTCTTTATATACAAAAAACACATATGCGTGTTCATACTTGCTCTCTTCCATATACCAAATAACATAAATTTATATTCACTGTGTGTATATACACATTTCTCTGATGTATGAGCAATTCAAACTACATGTCCATCACAGATACGTACACAATAGACATAGACTTTTCTACAAACACACAAATGTAAGCATACATAAGTACCATGTCTAACTACACATCTACATATGCACACACATGTGTATTGCCTTAAACACAAGGAATATATTAAGATTACTGACTGGGACTTTAACAAAGACAACTGGAGATAGTCAAATACAGAAAAAATAATGAAATGGTCTTAAAAAACTAAAATCTAAGTAAGAATCTCTGAAAAGAAGAGCAGGAACAAGCCAGTCAGTGATGAAAAGGAAATACTATAGAAATTTGTGTAGGCTGATGAGTGGGGAACAGGACACAACTTTTCTCTTGTCAACGTCTTTTGTGTATGGTACCAGGCTGTGTGTTAACCTATGCCAGGGCAGCTAGAGAGATAAGATTTGAACTGCTGGATGGGTTTCTTAACCAAAAACTGAAGAAAAGGCTGCTTGTCCTCAGGTTTAACACCAACAACCTAAAGCTGCTTCTAAGATTTAAGTCTTGTAGTTGATCGGACTTCTCAATAATTCATTCTTCAACTGAAACACCAGTTAAAGGAAATCATCTCTGAATTTTCAGCCACGTGGTCCTGCTTTAAATCAGATAGTTCAAAACAGAAAATATACTTGTACATATGAAATTCTTCTATAAGTTTTATGGATTTTTATTTTACTTTTTATATACACATGGATATGAATTGTGGAAACAGAATTTTCCCCCTAATCAGAATGTTTTGTTTGAGTTTTCTCTATGTTTATACAGTGAAATAAAAATTACCCAAGGTAGCTATCTCAGGTATTTTTGCTTGAATAACTAAATTGTGTTACAGTATTGCCTAAAATGATCATGCAGAGCTTGACTGCAGTTGCCAAATTCAAAGTGCCAGTAAGTGCAAACACACAGTAAGATGAGAAAATAAATCTTGGATTTATTCTCCAGAGGTTTTGTGTGATTCCTTTGCAAGTTTTGTTTTGTTTTTCCTTTAAACTGCATGGCTGCTTTGTGAAGCTCTTGTTGTGAATCCTGCTGTGGCACCTCCTCCCTCTCCACAAACTGTTGAGCTAATGCAGCCCCATAAAGACAAGGGGTACCACTGTAGGAATATTACAATATACTTTGTTGTGCTCGTATACTATCATGGATCTTTTCTTCTAGTTTTACTTTTTATATTTTAATTTAAATAATATTTTTTGCCAGTTGAGACTTGAAGTGACACGGTAGAAACTTCAATGGTCATTTTTGAATACTAGAAGTAGACTTAATTCTTATGGGTGTTGTTTCTAAATATCACTGCTCTTTGCAGTAGGAATAATACTTTCCAGGTTTACATGAAATTGTTTTTGAGTTACCTGAACAATTTTAGTACAAAGTGCAAATAATTTAACTGAAATTTGTTTTGTTAAAAATCTTGAAACTGTTGATGGGGTCTGAGGTTGACCTTACGTATCCAGAGGAATGCAAAATGCATCATTAAAATACTGAGTCTTAGATTTCATTAATTTTATGACTGTAAAATTGTCACCTATGTTTCCAAATGAAATGCTCTAATAAGGAAGACAGGTTTATGTGGTAAGCCTTTGTAGTTCTTCAGTTCAGACTACGCTTGAAGCTTTCTCGCTCTTCCTTTAGGCAAATCCCTTAGAAGCAGAATGTTTCAATTTTACACATTTTGTGTCAATTTTCCAGACAGAAAAGTAGCCCCTAGACATTAGACATTTAGCTACGGAAAGGCAGTTTCCTTAGTTTTATTTGATTACTAGAAGTTAGATTCCTGCTGATAGTTCAGGACTGTTAGTGGTTACCTGACTATTTGACAGAAAACATTTCCTTTCCTTTATTTAACCTTTGACTCATGAATGTAAAAGTTTTATCAGAGCTATAGTAGAAGCACCAGTGAGGTGGAAGTCTACTTACTGCAACAAGGGTTATGCTTGACTTTGAATAAAAGTCTGAGCTCCTGCCTTGTGGCTCATTTGGATTAAAAGAAAATGCTAAGTACGTTTTTAATTAACCATGAAATATCTTGGGTGCTTGCTTTCGTGACAGGCAGTGGCTGTACTTTTAAATAAAGACCACTGTAATCTCAATCAGGGCATGCATTTCTATTTAAATGATATTATGTGTGTTTTGATGTTTTTCTTTATTATGGGAGAAGTATTTTGTGGTAACTGTAGCAAAATTGTTGTATGTTGTTTTACGTTTGCCTTGTCTGTTTATTTCTCAAACAGTTATTGATTGTAATGAGGAATGCAAAGACAATGTGTACAATTAAAGAAAAATAAACAAGAATCCAATAATGGTTTCATAGTTCAAGAACCTAAATTATTTTTATTTGAAGTTTAGGCTTCTAAATATATTAAAAATGAAAATTAAAACCCTGTTTTTCCTCTGTTTTATCTGCTGTGAATGGGCTTCATTGATAACCTTTTGACATTTTTGTAAGACAGCTAAATAATTACGAAATGCACTGCTCGTAAATAATTTTATGAATACAAGTACGATGGTAAGGTCTTTCTAGTAATGGACTTTAATTTTGATTTTATCTGTTGTTAAGGTACATATTAGTGTGACAGTTTGGAGTTAGGAGTAATATATTACAGGTCTCCTCTGTTAAATTCAGCCATTTCAAAACTTTTTGCAGACAGTGCATTTCTGTACTGACTTGAAAAAAAAAAAGTTACTCGGTCTAACAGATGTCAATGGATATTTGTGTGCTGGATGACTTTTCAGTGCCTAGACTAGTTCTATGCGAAATAAAGATTAAATAATTTTGCAAGATTTGATAACAGGACAAGCTAAGAAGATTCTTCTGCTGCAGTGCTTCTGGTTTTTAGCGATCACACACAAATGTCATATACATTGCTCTATCCAATACAATATGCTGGATAAAGATGTAAAGCCTGTATTATGGGAATGTTCATCTATCAATAAATCTATTCACTAGAGTAGTCCAAATAAATTAATAGGATTATTAACACAGATCTTGCAAAAGCAACCTGTGGTATATGAAGATAAAAATGCTGCTTGACAACCTTGAGGATGTTACAAAATAAAAAGGGCTTATACTTGCTCTTTGAGAGTCTGAAATACCTGATACTGTCTTCACGATGAACAAACACAACCTGTGTTTGTTTCCTTTTGAACGCACACACACAAAAGCACTCTTTATTGTTTATGAAAGCAACAAATCTAACAATTCTTTATTATACTGAATTAATAGCAATTAGCAAACACATAAAAGCAAAATATAAAGGGAACTTTTTTTGCTTTCCAGTAGATCTTTGTTATATTTTGTTGCAGTAAGAACAGTATAATTAAAAATACTGACAAAAAGTTTTGCAATTTAACTGTGCTCTTGAAGAACTGAAGATTGTGTGGAAATGAAACAGAGAACAGGTCTTGATGACCTTTGGTTTTTTGCTATATAATGTAACAGAGTACTTGTTATGATTTCCTTAATTTTTCAGGCTTAAGAGGCATGCTGAAATTATATTAACCTTGTGTCTGTAGTTGTAAGGCTTAAAGCAATTCTTTTTCCAGTTGTTCAGCTCAGAAAGGAAACTGGCATTTTAAAACTGTGTTCAAGTAGTTTGTTTTTACAATGTTTGTCTTTGTGGTTTTGTTACATAAAGACATGGAAGTTTATCATCAACCTGATTTTGCTAAGGGAAGAAATTCTTGTATGAGTAGTCTGGTCAGCGTGCCTTGCCGTATGAAAGAAAAATCTCCGTTAGCTTTTTGTTATGGTTCATTATTTTCAGATAACGAATTTGACCTTTTTATGCATAAACTTAAAAATTGCATTTAATTTTTCTTTTCACAGAAAGAGGGGAGTTGAGATCATAGATACAAGAAAGAAATATGGTTAATATTTTATTGAAGTAGGAGCATTTATTTTTGTAGAATGCTGTTCATGAATGTTCACTATGAAAAATGAACAGGTCAGATAAAATTTTAGAGTATTCTATAGCAAAATATGCTGGAGTGATGTGCACTGCTAATGCAGAGGTGACAGCAGAAGTCCGGAAACCTTTTAGATAATCTAACCCATTTGTTTGTCCAGTGTTACAAAAATTCTTTGTAATATATGCCTACCTTATACTTTGACCTGAACAGAATGCTAGAAGAGAGTTCCAGTCCCTGCTGTAATTCTAGGCTGGTAAAACTGTTCAATAGCTCTGACATTTGCAGGTACTCTGAGTGCTGTGCTGAGCAATTTTGTTTGCCTATCTACGCTGTGTTTCAGTGACATGGAAAACCAGGTTAACATGATTTCAGGAGATGATAGAACAGGAGTCTTAGGTGGAAAAAACCTCAAAGATCAGATGTTTTAGGTGCTGTTATGATTATGGGTGCTTTACAAGGGCCTGCAGCAGCCAGTGGTCTCACACAGGTGCAGTGAAGTACATTTTATGATTATATAAGAATATATTGAATAATAAATGCAACAATATCACACATTAACTACTGTCAACAATACCAAGCATTAAAAATATCTGTGAGCATTAGGAGGTTGATGTAGTTTTGATTAATAGTGTATGGTAAAGTGTGATAAAGACATTAATACAGCAGCTCTAAAAGAAATCATTGCCTCTGTGTCTGCTCACTTGGCAAGAATAAATTCATCAGGGGTTTTTGTGTTTGTTTGGTTGTGTTTTTTTATTTTATTTTATTTTATTTAAGAATTAGCAGTTCGGAAAGATAGTGAAGTAAGATTCCTAGAAAATGCAGAACTATAACTATGTTCAGATTTCTGCTGTTCTCTTTCTTTGCCTTAAGAATTGCAATCTGTTTCTTAAGCCTTGCCAGCTGCATGCTGAGAACAGAGGTGTTACAACGAAAAAACATAACCCTTCACTGGACTCACTGCACAAAAGTAGACTTGGCTTCTCTACCAGCCAGGGTTCACCTTAACAGGTGTACTTTTCCTATCAGGGAAGACATTTAGGTTCTGCATACTGGGCTTTTTCAGTTCCAGAGAGCATGTTTCCTGAAATATATAAATTTGAAATTTTAAATTCTGTCCAGAGCACACGCTAAAGCTTTTAAGAAATGCATTGAAAGTATTTCCGTGGATTTAGACTGCACTGAATAACAAAGTATGTAGTATTGTTACATAGAAGTATGAAACATAGTAAAAATATTTCAGGGTTTATTTCCTTCCCAGCCCGCCTTCTAAGCTCAAACAACTCATATTGACCATACTATTACCACTTTAGTAATGTTATTTGTGATAAAATTCTAACAGACATGAGAAGGTGTGTAACTTGTAAATAAGGATTAATTTATACCAGTACTATTTAGTTTATCAGACTTATTACATTTATATCATAGGTTTAAATAGTGATTATGGAAAGTTCTGTAGTATTTGGTCACTGATGGTTGCTGTTAAAGGTAACTGTTTTGTAAATACATGACAAAATAATGTAACTGTTGTCACTATGTTTGAGTTTCTTTTCTCGCGCTCTTCAATCATGCCTTATTTATCTTGGATTCTTTTTAGCTCACTGAGAGTATTACACACAAATGGGCTGCAGACTTGTGTTAAATGTCTATTAAGTATTCATGTATTAATGTGCTGTGTGTTTGCAACATTGGTGAATGCTCTTTTATTTTAGAAGTTAATTTTATGGGTAGAAATGACTTTGAAGGAAGACCAATCTTCTTACATATAACATGACATCTGTCCTATTGCATAGTATTGCACCACTTGTCAAATATGGGGTACTTGGTCTGCCCAGGTAAAATTTTTCGTTCTCCAGGGAAGCAGCAGTTCCGGCAGTCCACCGGTAGAACTGGACATGGAATTTCAAAATTGCAAATAACTACTGAAAGCCGTAACAGCTAAAGATAATGAAAGTGTGATTTGACAATGTTTAAAATTATTTTTGGAGCTTTTAAAATAACGAGAAGTTAAATTATTATGAGCTAATCTACACTTAACAAAACTTCAAGACAGGTGGCCAGCATGAAGATAAGTAGCTTTGCTACTGTCTATTGGTGATGTACCATTACATTTGCGGGGAAAAGTTTTATATGCATTTTATCTATATGTAGAAATATTATAAACATGTGCAAGTCAGATTAATCGTAGTAGTATTTTATAAGCACTGGAAAAAATAAATTGATATGTTATTAAAATGCTTTTTCCCCTCCTGTTTTAGTTACTTACCGTGGTTTGAGGTATACTACAAGCTTCTAAATACTCTGGCAGATTATTTGGCTAAAGAACAGGTAATTTTAGATATTCTATTTCTTTGTGTAAAATATTTCACTTGAAATAATAGTCAGCATTTGAAGTATTATAAAGTGATTCTATACTGTTTCAAAGCTTAAAATTTTAGTAGAATTTAGAAGCAAGTTTTTACATTCATCATATTGAAATTCAAATAATTTGAACATACAGCTGTCACTGTCACTTGAATCCCACATTAATGTTAAAAAGCTGCTGAGGATATACCTTTATAAAGTGTCAGTCTTAGCATAAACAAGTCCTGGGTGAAGTGTGAGCAAAGTGTCACATCACTGGAGATCTGTATGACGTATTGATTGTAAACTGTAGATCTCTGGAACTATCTGATTATCAGTTACAAACACTTTTTTTCCGAACTGCATAAAATATGATGTACTGTTTCACCCTTCATATTAACTAAAAACTACCTCTCGTAATTCTGTCATCTCAACTAGCAAGACAAAATTACTTGCAGCATTTGGTGAAGAATCATGATAGTTTACTTTGCATATTCATGAGCAATTAGACATATTCCAGGATTACACAGGAAAGGAAATACTGGCATCTGTCTTTACTGAGAACATTAAAGCTATACCTTTCTGCTTTAGATATATTACTGTACTAGATTGTAATTAAAAAAAAAAAAGAAAAAGCATCAGTAGTCAGCCATATGCTGTAGGCTGGAAAAGCTGACATTTCAAGAATATATGAACTATAGAATAAGCAATTATTGTGCATTATAGTAAATGGACTATAGAGAATGATGATATTTTATGTAAAAAGAAAATGTAGTAGTAAAGTTTGGTGTTGCCTATGTTTAAATAAAGTAGTGTGGAATACATTTAAGTCTTATAAATGGTATAATGAGCCTTTGGTTTTGGCCCTGATTTCACTGTAATAGTAAAAATTGTTATAAAGGTTGAATTTGACAGAAGGCCTAGGGATTGTCTTCTCCTTTGTTTCTTGTTCACTGGTTCTGGCATTGCAGCAATTAGTACAACCAGTTTAAGTTGCTGGGTTATGAGTTAGTTGTCCTGTGTGCTGGGAAAACTATTTTGATGGGTCAGAAAGTTTTAGCAGTGTATGGGACTATTTTGTTGCATTGCCTAGTGCCATATCTGTTGCTGGGGAGATCGTTGTCTCTTTTTCCAAGTAAATGTCTCTTTCAGAGATCAAGCTGGGGGCTCCTGGTTAAACCCAGTAGCTGCATGTACTTTTTAGTAAACCTTGTTAAATGTTTATGTTCTCTGATAAATAATTTTTAAACTGTGCAATATAGCTATGTAGCTGCATATTTAGTAAAACTTTGGATAGACAAATATCATGGCTAACAGTTTTAGGAAGATGATGTCCAAGATGCACAGACCAGCTGGACGTGTTAACGCTATTTTCAGTAGCAAATAATCTGATTCATTTAAGGAGTATATGGGGAAATATGGAGGAGATTGACTTAAGGTGCAGATACAGTCATTTTCTGAGATACAAAATTGGCCTGAATTTTATACTTTACATTTAAATACTTCACTATAAATTGCAATATTCTTTCTCATTAAATATATATATATATATATCTTTGTCAATAAATAGTTTGATGTGTAGTACATGCTAATTAGTCAGTTTTTATACAATATTTAACTGCCTTTTAAAAATATTCCCCATAGGAAAACGACTCAAATGATTTGTTAAAATCATTGTATAGCCATCCTGTGCCAAAGGCGAACGCTTTAGTCAGTTTAAGTGTGGTAAGTATTCTCTGTTTAACTCCTACTCCTGTTACTGACTATAAAATAGTAGGTAAGGTAGAAAGAAAAAAAAAAACCTTCACCCTTTGTAAAGAGTAAACTTATGTTGTTTCCCATCATTAACTGGCTTGGACAAGTTTTTTTTTTTTTTTTTTTCTCTGTGCAGAGTTTGTCTCTGTCTCATGCTGTTCTCTTAAAGTCATAGTCATAAAGAAGCAGAAATTTGAGTTTTGCTCTACGGATGAGAAAGTAAACTGCAGTGGGATCTGGCAGTGCTAGAACTACTTTTTTGTGCTTCCAGCTGTTTCATATAGATAATTTTGGTTTCTCCTGCTGTGAACTGGGAGACACTAACTCTGTTTTATTGCCTCTATGTCTGAGTAGGTAGACTTGCAGGATTGGACAAAAGTCTGTGTGAGCTGGCTTCTTTCCCACCTTCCTTCCCCTTCTTCCTAGTTTTGCTTGATCATGTGAAAATGCTGTAGGAAAGATGGTAGGAGAAGTGCACTGCGTTACACGAATCTTTCAGCACATCTAGGTGAAAGAACATGTCCATGCCTACCTTGCTTTTATTCTCTGACTTTTTGTGATGTGGGGCTGGATATTGATAGTATGGCAAGGTGGTGGTGCTGCAGAAGCATCAAAATGAGCCTGTCGCTCTTACAGTTCCTGAACTTTTTAACAGAAATAGCATATGGACGCATGCTTAAGTACATTTGTAGAGTCTGAATGAAATGTAGAGCCAATGCAGAGCCTCTGCTGTCTCCAAGACAACGTTCATGTTCACAGCATCTGTACAGTTACTGCACTGTGCACAAACAACTCTTTCTTGATTGAACTGGTACAATTTGAAGGGCACACAAAGAAGTGATTTTGTAAAGGCCTCCCTTACACACGTCCTGAAATATCATTGGAATATTTACCTTGACCTTATTTGTGTCATTTCCTGTTACTTTTAACCCCTTTTAATTTTGATTTGAGCCCAATACTTCGAGTAAAGTAAGCACAGACTCTAGAAAAGCATCTGGCCCTGTGATGAAGGCGTGCAGAAATGGAGAGTTTACCACTTCCGTTCCATCCTTGCTGCTTGACATAATGCTGCCATTATTTTATTTCAATTTGTCATATTTTAGATTCCTTGTTATGCTTTCTTTCGCTAGGCTCTAGAGGCCCAATATTTTGTCCCCTTGAACAGTGCTAATCCACAGTATTTGAAAGTCCTTCCAGTCTTGTGTGGTGTTTTTCACAAGAAAAACATAGTGCTTTTTGAGGCTGAAGTCGGAATTGTTTCAATTGCCAAGTTTTTTCTTTCTTTTGTCAGTGTTATATTTTCAAGTTATTTTTCAGCTCATAGTAACTTTGCCAAGAATATGTCTGTATATCAAATAATATTTTGCTGTCATTAATAGCAGTATTATAACTAAGCCTAATTTGGCAGCCCTAAAACACTTCTTTATGAAGTACTTCAAAAATCCTGCTGCGTTTCAGAGGGATGTAGAGAAGCTTTAAAGATATTTTTCCTTGCATTTCTTGCAAAGTGTTACTGCCTGTTCTTATCAGTGTTGCAGTTCATCTTGCATAGAACTTGCCTTCCTCAAAATGAATGTTGTGATGAACCTGGAAATGGACCTTGTTGGTGAATACAGCTGGCAACACTGGGATGACTAATTGCTTGCAATGAAGTTGATGCCTGTTGATTTTATTTCAATAGTATCTGACTGTTGAATATTTTTTTCCTCAATTTTCTTTTGTTCCCGGTAGCTTGTTACATCAAAGACTTTTGTAATACTTTTAGCTGAACAATGATTATCTAAATACAGCCCTCTTGCCAAATGCTTGGATCTAGGTACAGTCAAGCAAATATTGTGGGTTCAGATGGGGCAGAGCAGGAAGGAATAGGTTAGCCTGAATCAAAATGCTTGTTGGATCTACAGGTATCTCTTTTTTTTGTAATGCTTAGTGCTGCAGGGAGTAGCAATATATTTACGGCCACTTTCAGCTGTAACTTCGTGTGCCTATTGTTTTATGTTGATGTTCCTTTCTTGCTCCTCCTATATTGTAAATAAGCTAGACTGGAACCGTCACTAGTAACAGACTTCAAAAGAAGTCACACTCTGGAAAAAAACCCCTGTAGAAATGGGATCATGAGGTGGCTTTTCATTGTGCCATGATGAGTCTAGTTCAAATTTCATGATACTGAATTAAAAAGATCCCTCCCCTCATTTACCCAGGTATTCTGTAGGGTAAGGCACAGAGTCATTGAAGTAGGGTTTAGGATTGCATATATATATAATCATGCATAAATTACACCCAGTATCTGGATACATGGTGTTTCCCAGTAATCCTTGGTCAGGAGGACACCAAAATACCTCGGTTCAGTTAAGGAGCAAGTTCTACTCTCACCCGTCGGTCCCAGTAATAAATGCTCTGTAGTTGAAATTTTGAGGGGTGATCATTTGTTCTATGAAACCTGAGCTTAATTATAATTAGGGTCACTTTTATTTTACCCATAGAGGGCTAAAAACAGTGTTGTTGAGGGTTTTGTTTGTTTGTTTGTTTTGTTTTTGTTTTTTTAAAGCTAAGTTAGGTCTGAATTCGAATGGGGGAGGAATACAAAGAACAATAAATTTTCAGCCAATATTTTAAACATGGAATACTACAAGCATTAGTGTCAGCTTTGGCCTTTTTATTGGAAAAATAAACAGTCAATTGTTCAATCTTTCTCTCATCTTGCATAAGAACCAAGAGATGATTTTTGCAAGTGAGCAAGTTTTGAAAAAACAGCCTTGTCTTATATCGGTGAGTTTAAAAGGCACTGACTATCTAAAGCCTAATGTAATTAAAGAAATAATTACTTGCTATACAATATCTCTTTTGATTTCAGGCTTATTTATACCTGTCCTTTGGGAAATTCTGCTGCTGTCTTTAGCCTAAAAGAGCAGTGCAATATTAATATACCTCTTCTGTTTAAATCAATCTAACTGCAGAGCTCTGTGCTTGTGCGTCATAATCCTTTTGTAAAAACCGCAACCAAAATCAAACCTGTAGATTGATGAAAAAACTTGCATTTTCTAGTGTCCTTTTTAGAGACAACTTTATACAGGACAGCAACTATTAATTTAGTATCTCTTCCAAGGTCATACATCTTCTTAAGGCATATCACAAAGATGTGCAAGGCCTCCATACCACGTTATTTTTGCTGCTTTATGACTTTTAATGACTGCGGTAATGGGTCTTTGATTCACATAGTTCTGACTTTCTGTTTAATGAGTGAAATATTATTACTTTGTTAATTATAAATAATTATTTCTCTTCATTATTAACTTCATTATTCAGAAATCTTTTCATAAATATTCTGTGACCTTATTACATATAGGAAATATTCTCACTATGCTTCTGCAGAGTGTAGACCTTCCATTAAGCTTGAATATTTTCCTGTTCTTGAGAGAGGAAAAAAAAAGCACCTTAGCTTTTTTCCTCTGTTGATGCAAAACTATAACCCAGGATATTTATTGTGCAAGTGTTATGATGTTTATGGGATGCCTTTATTAAGCCAATTTTTTTTTCCTTAAATTTTTAACTATTACCAAATGACCTCATTTGTGGGGAAATTTTTCTATTAAGTGTATCAAGCTGGTTTACGCACAGTTAATTGTAGTAGTAAATTTTTTTTGCTTGAACATAGACACATTTAGTATCTTATAGACTTGTGTTATGTTTTGGTATATCTTTTTCAAGTTTCACTTGAAAACAGTGTCTTTGTGTTGATAATTATAATTTTAAAGTACACTGTAAAAGCTAAGTCTATGAAAAATGCCAAAATTCTGTTAAACACAAACAGAAGCTAAAAAGTCATCAATTATCAACTTTACTTAGTATGTACTTAAGGTTTTTTTGTCCTTCAAGATTTAGACTAATATACAAAAATACCTTAAAATTACTGAGCTAAATCCATGTCTGATAATTACTAAAAACACTGGATTAATGAGAATTATTTAAATTACATCTGTTTTTACTTTAATACATTTTATATTTACATTCTAGATGGCCTCAAACTAAGATGCATAAAATTGCTAATGTATTTCATAAATGATTGCAAAATCTCAAGCTGTCAGACTTTGCATTTTTGTTAGCACATTTTTGATTCAAAGATATTTGGAAAGAGAAGAGAATGTATTTCAAGTAATAATATTTCTATTCTAATTAATTTTCTCATTTGAATGATTTTTCCTTCTCCATTCTAAATTTACATTTTGTCCTTTTAACATTTTTTGTTGCAATTTTTAAATCAATGCTTAAGTTAATCAGTGCTACTCTCAAGCTCGTGACAACATTTAAAACTGGCCTAATTTCAGTGTTATTTCAAAACTGCAGCCCAGCGTTTTGTTCCCTTGGTTTGTGTGCTGTCGTGAACCAGAGCTTGTCATTTTGTGTCGTGATGTGCTTAATTCTTTGTCTCGTTGTGGTATAAATGCTATTGGAAAAATGGCTATTTGCTTAAACAAAGATGTGGTTGTAAATCCTAAGTGCTGGATTTTTTAAAAAAGAATTTTTGGTTTCTGTCTGCATAAATTATTAATTATTTTTCCCCATTGATTAGCACTCGTATTTCATTACTCCTGATATAACTGGATTGCCAACAATCCCTGAAAGCGTAAGTATGCGGTTTCCTTTTTAAATATTTAGGAGAAGTATCAACCTCATTCTGTGGGTAGAGCTGAACTCTGCTTTTATCGGTAGAAGATGTTTTTTTTCTAAGACTGCTTTTAGAATATGATTGATGTCTACTATTACAATCTTTAGCTAGTAGTTACTGTTGCATTCATCGTTAACCCATTTTAAAGCATTGCCAGGGAATTTTTGACCAACAGCTATATCCACCCTTTGTTCATAATTACTTGGCTTGTTTGCATTTATTTGGATTATTTGTATAAAATATATTCTACTTCTGCACTTTGTGTTATTTAGATATCTGCCCTTTAAACACTGCATTGCTAAGCTGCAAATTCAGCTATCAAGATATGCACTTACTTTTTTTGTGTAAGAAGGCATTGTTTCAGGCTTTCTGAAAACATGCCGTACCTGCTTACATTTGATGGTAACCATGCATCAGGAATGGTGGTTGCTATTATTTTTTTTTTTTTTTTTTTTTTTTTTTTTTTTTTTTTTAATGAATACTTGCATTTTGTAGATGCTGAATCCTTGATGGTAGATTGTGAAAATCGCAGATTTCATTCTCTGTGATGTGTTTAGCTGAATGACATCTAATAAAAGAGCTTCAAAACTTTCTGCTTTCCACTCTTGCACTTAAATCTGGATTGAATATGGATGTATAGGTGTGCATTTTTACACTTTCAAATAACTGAAAGTTAAGCTGTTGGGGGGGTTCACCACGGTACAAAATCCTGCAGTACTGCAGACCTCATTCCTGGTAGGTATTGTGGTGTTTGCACGGAAAGCGTGACCAGAATGTCCTCACAGCCTCTGCGGTGGTCCATCAGCAAAGGGTGGTGGGGATGGTGTCCCGATGGCCCGCTCCTCACCTCTGCACTGTGGGCAAGAGGGGAGGTTGTGCCCAGCAGCATCCCAGGTGGGCAGTGGCACATGGACCACAGGGTCATGGGCAGGTCAGGAAAGGACTTAGCTTTTAAGCTTTTATTTTCATCTGTTTCACCCTATGGGTTGTTTTCCTCTATTTTAAAAAATTCTCTTGTTCTAGCCTATTATTTGGGGTTCTAGTAAAACATAGCTTTGGAGGTTGGAAGGGGCGTTATTTGTTCAACTTGAAGAACACGCTGGGAAGCTTAACTCTGGGCCTCTGGCTGGTGGAAGATCTTGCAATGGTGCTATTTTGGATTTATTTTTCTGATTCTCTGGCAGAAAGGAAAAGTAATATTCAAGGTGCCTTTCTATAATTATTTTTAACTCCATTTATAAAAGTCTCATCCTTCCGTTCTGAATTAAAATAGTATGGTACGAGTGGAAGTTTAGAACATGCAGGGAGAGAAGAGAGGAGGTAATTACAGCAAATTAGCAATAATATGAATTTTTTATTCTTTGTTGTAAGATTCACACATTTCAGGGGCAGTTAGCTTGTCAGATGTAATGCAGAAATAAGTGTGACTGACTTCCAGAGACGTATCAATCTGTAAAACATTGCAAACTCCTTTTACCACAGCTTTTGCAACACAGAATCAGCATACTATTATCAATTCCAGTGTTAGAGTGTGTCTGAGGTAAATTGGACCCAAATTATCACTGTTCATCGGCCTCTGACAACTAGTTAAAAGTCACGCTTGAAAGACCAGAGTTTCTTTCTAAATGGGGTGTTTGTAGCCTTAAAGCTCTTGCTTTTATCTCTTCAAAAATTTTATGCAGCATGGACCAAGAATGACTCTATACTCCATGTCTTTGAACTAATAATGCATTTCTGAATTTACATGAAAGTGGATCGTCCATTGGATCTTCATTTGCTATTTCGGTATCTTTTTTTAATTTAGTATTGCAGTGTATCCAAAAATGAGGTTCAACCCTCTGATGGTTCATCTGGGCATGAACGAAAGTTAGCTTTTTGTATCATGGAGCCTGTCAGGAGATGAGCCAGCAGCTGGTGAAGAGCAGCTCTGCCCCACGCCGCGCTCCCTGGCTGCCCAGGGCTGTGAGCCAGAGAGGCCACAGCCGGCCACTGTGTCCTGGCCCCCGCCGGGGACCTGCTGGCACTCAGGCTCTGAAACATTTACTCTCTGAAGCTTTCACCACTTGCCCTCGTTGTTGTTCAGGGGTGCATTACCTTCCTGCCAGGTGTTGGCCACATCCAGTGTAGGTTAACAGTTACACTGTTCACCTTTCCATCCTTGGGTTGGGACATATAGGTGGTAGACCTCCTACATTACAGAACGTTAATGAGTGATTTCTGGAAAGAGATGAGTAAGAATTCTGGTTGCAGATATGATAAAAAATGGGTGAAATTAAATATTTGTGTATCTTGTGGGGTGTATTAGTCTATTTTCATATGTATTCTCTAACATTTCTTAAAACTTGCTGTTTTCCTAGGCATTTTTTTCTGGTCACTGTTTTAGCTTATTCAGAAGTTCTATGTCTCTGGCACTGTGTCATGCAGAAATACTAAGTTCAGCTGAAACACAAAGATCCCCCCACCTCCACCCCAACCTGCCGCCTTCTCTTTTCCTCCCACCTTTGTGTTATCTGAACTATAAATAAGATGTGCTGGGGAATTTGCTTTTCATTAAACCCCACGGTGGGGTTCTTATTAGGGGTGAGGAGGGTGGCTGCAGCAAGGACCCAGTACTTTCTACCGGTGCTGTTGGAGGTTTGATGTCCTGGCACAGCTCACGCGAAAGCTTGGTATTTGTCAACAAGCTGTTTTGCTGTACTTGAAAGAGAATAAACTGTGTTGACTTTGGGAGAACCTGGCAAAATAGCACGGTTTTATTATTGTGGCTGTGATGAACAGTTATTGCAGTGGTGGAAGATCTGTAATGGCTACCTTAATAGCATATGGTGCTATTGATATCATACCAAATTTCATGTTTTTTCAAATTTGAAAAAAAAAAAGGCAAATCCAAATTCAAAAGCATAATCATCAAATGAGCAAAATATTAATAAGTTATACCAAAGTTAGTTTTTCGTTGGCTTTAAAACTCAGTTATTCCTAAAGCATAGAGATTTTAATGCAAAGGGTTTTCTTTCATAGTTTTGGGTTGGTTTTTTTTTTTTTTAACAGCTAGTAATTGGACAAAAATTTTTGTAAGTAATATATAAAATTTTTCACTAGCTACTTCTGTTGCTATATTGTTAACATCTTATTTATTTAACAGAGAAACCTCACTGAATATTTTGTTGCTGTGGATGTGAACAACATGCTGCAACTTTATGCCAGTATGTTGCATGAGAGACGAATCATTATTACCTCTAGCAAACTAAGCACTGTAAGTACTTCACACATCTCCTTTTAAGTAGAATATATTGAACATTTCACAAAATGACCTGCAGACCTTTGTGGTTTTAGATATGTTCCATGTGTACTTATAAGACAATATCTGCATACTTTTCTGATATATGGTTTTAGTCTGGCTCTTGAAGTACAAAAGTCTGATTTATATAAGACCTACTCAGATACATTAAGTCAGGTTAATTATTTTTCTTATCAGGAGATGAGAGTTCTTTAACTCTCCTGAGTTCATTTCTCTGCCTTCTATAACCTAAAAAGAATTCTTAAGGGCTATTATAAGATCTTTATTATTCACTTGTGGCTTATTCCGTTGGAGCTACTTGAAAGAAATCAAGGGTCCATAATAATAGCTGCTATCCTAACCTGGTAATAGGTAGATTCATCTTTGTCAGAGTGGTTTGGGAGTGCCTACTGTAATAGCTGTGATTTGGAGCAGCTCTTCAGACTGATAATAACGTACAACTCAAAATAGCTTTTTTTTTTTTTATTAAAGGTTTTAGGCTACTGCCCACATTAAAATGTTTTGGTTTTTTTTTTCCTTGCCTTTAGGCCTGCTTTCACTGCTTAATAAAAGAATGTTGTGTTTCATTTTGAAAGTATACCTAAATATTCAGATGTTATTTTGTTTTACTCTACACAGAATCTTATGAGTTTTGAAAATATCCTATTTTTTAAAATATTCCCAAGATTAATTTTTCAGTAGTGCAAGGCTGGTACTTTATAACCAACTTTCATCATAGAATATATTTGTTATGCAGAATATTTAGCCTGTTAAGCACAGTTATTGAAAGAACCTTTATTTTTTCCAATGATACTGCATAAAAAAAATTGTTTAATTTGATTTCTATGGTAGAAAATCAACTTCATATTCCTGGACACAGCTAATTGTACTACCAAATAAATGAGCAGCTATTTTCGACATGTAGGTAACGTGGTTGGATATAGTACTAAAAATTAATATTTTCAAAGACTTGCAGGTGCCAATTTCCAGTATTTAACATGTGCATGTAAGGACTCAGAATTTTTTCTGAGTCAAAAGTAAATTGAAGGTAGAGAAGATTCAGAATCGCAATAAAAGGCTGACAGGTTTTACAGTTCTAGGTGATATTAGCAATTATATAACTGTCATCTTTTTTTTTTATTTTTTTTTTATTTTATTTTTTAAACACCGCAGTTTGGGGTCCCTGAATCTGCAGTCACTGTTGCAGTTAGGGAAATGCATAAAGACAGCTCTTTACCACTTTACCAGTTTGCAGAATATGGAGCTAAGTAAGTCCATGATGATTGAAAGTAAAGGAAACATGGAGTCATATAAGCAAAGGCCATGTGGTCAACTGAAAACCAGAAAAACAAATTGTGAATGGTTATAAGCAATCTTCAAATTACTAGTCTATGCTACATTTTGTAACCACCAAGATTTTAATTTATCTTAGGAAATTTCCATATTCTATCATGCTTTTTTCTTCCCCCTGCTCCTGAAATGGCTATGGTCTTACAACACAGTAATAAGACTATCCAAATGGGTGAAGAGAATTTGAAGGAAAAGCCCTCTTAAAGAACCTGGCTTAGTGGAAGTTCATGTGAAGTAGCAAAACCATGGAATAAATTTTTTTTAATTTTTTTTTTTTTCAGTTTGCCAGTCTGGGACCCAACAAACAAAAAACCCAAACCAAACTAAAACCAAAACCTCAAAAAAAAAACCCCACCTTAAAAAAAATCTCAGCTCCAGTGATGCCCCAGTCAAACCTCTTTTACTGCTCCAGTAGAGAGGAGATAGGAATGACGATGGCAGCTCTGTGCCTGTGGAAGATTTATTCTGCAGGTGGGCACGTGTCCGTCTGCTTAATACGATTTAGAATTGCACTCAGCTTACATTTGGATCCTCTTAAGACTCATTTTTGTTTGGCTGAACATCTCGGCTGATTTCTGTTGCTATGATATGACAAGAGAAGAGGTATCAGAATCAGACGGTGCTGATCTAGACCACCTTATTTCTATGTTCCAATTCCAAGCTCTTTGAAAGTTGTTGCAGAACAACTGATGTATTATTGCTGGTTGTGGGAAACTTTAACTGTGTTCAAAATTCAGCTGTTTATTCCAAACCTTTTCATGAAGTAGTAGTCATCTTGATGATGTCCTCACTTGAAAATAATTTATATCACTCTACTGGACAAGGATAGGTAGCAATAGCAGACATTTGTATTGGCATTTGGATGTCCTGAAGAATCTCCTTCCCCAGGCTGTGAATGTAAATAATAGATTGCAGGTTAAGTCCAGAAAGTTAGAACTTCAGTTTCACATTGAGTTATTTTTTTGTGTACAGAACACAGCAGACTGGTACTTTGTGTTGCAAAGGGCATGTTTTAATATTCCTAAATCACAGCTTGATACTTGAAAAGACTATTTGTTCAAAAACAGTGCTATCAAGTACAACTTTCTGTTGAGGGAGTTGTGCCTTATCTTTGGGGTTAACTGAATATCAAGTGTTTATGTCAGTTCATGAAGACTGGGTTGTGATGTCACCTTCAAGTTATCAGCTCTGTTTCGGTTCACTATCTCAGGGCAGTGACTGATAACAAAAGGCATAATTCAAGGCCTTGCTCACTTTCTCCTCACCCTTCTTGTATGGGGTCAGGAGTGGAAAACTACACTTATGTACAGGAATTCTTTGTCTAGCATTTATGCCCTATAAATTTCATGCTTTCATTGTACTCAAGTAAAGGATCAGTCCTATGGAAAAGGCGGGAGGGGGAGGTAATCATGCTGTATTTAAAAAGAAGGTTTACTTTGGAGGGAAAAATAGAAAGACAAAACAGGTTTTTCTATTTTAAGTTGTTGAGTAGAGTTTTTTTAATTAAAAAAAAAAAAAAAGATAAGTACCATTTTATCCTGAGGGTGTGTTTCAATTATCAGCTTACATTTTATTTCCATCAAGCAGGTTTTTTTTATATGCATCTTCTGATTTTTGCAGTTGTTATGTACTTTTTGCATCTTTCTTTAAATTGATTTTCTGTGTTTTTACCTCCTTTAAAAGCTCCTATGGTGGAGATCTTTGCCTACTTGCCCTACCAATTGCTACCAAGATGTATGTGGAAACTTCCCACCGTTCCCTTCTGTTGTAGCTTCTGGGTCATTCTTTGCCCTAACTGCTGATTCTTTTATTAGCTTGACTTTCCAACCACTTTAATAATGTGATTATCGCCAACCTCACAGCTTGCTTCAGGCTTAGTGTTAGTGTGAGATGGATTCAGCTAGCCTGAGGATTATGCTCTGTAAGATCTGTAGCAAAAATTGCCATCTCTGGCTTTTGAACAGTAAACTCTGAAAAAGAAACAAATTATATGGCTTTGGATTAAATGAAAGAATGAATGAAACAAAGGAATTAATCTATTCACAGAGGTGGGTGTTAGTTGTTTCGGTTTAGCTGTAAAAGGAGACCTTTCCTAAATGCCATGCTGTATGTTCTCCCACAGCACCATTTTCTCACACGTCACTGCATCTGCATGTATTCTTATTAGTTGCATGGAGCTGTATGAGTTTCAGTACAAATAATTTTTTAATTCAGTCTTTCTATAAATTATTAAAGTGCTGGGGATGGCTTTTCCAGGAAGGCTGCACTACAGCATTGATTTTATGCATGCTGGAGGCAGGCCCTAGATGTTTCGGCCCCAAGTGCACCTGCTGTGGTAGTCTACCAGAACATCATACCACACTCTCATGTATTCAAAGCAAAGGAATAAATCATGATTTTACAACAGTGCATCAGTTGACTTATTGCTGTTTTGTGACCGGAGGTAGGAAGGATTGCTGTTTAAAGCCATGTCATCGGTTCTCAAGTCACTCAAGCATGAAAGCTTGTCATATGCCTCTGTAATTGTACCTCACCAGTCTTTCCCTAACTAGTCAGCTGGGGCTGTGCGTTTTGTCTCAAACACCCGGCTGGCCAGTGTCTGACAGGAGCTTTCTCATCATCCTGTCAGTAATATGCTAACTAGAGTGTATCTTCTGCGGCCTACACTGGCAGGTGGAAAGGATGCTACACTTTAAAGCAAATGTCTAAACGTTATCTCCATTTTGACCAGTATTTGTTTCAGGTAATACAAGTCTGCTGTGTCTGAGCATGATTACAAAGTTCTGCTTTGCACTGGCTGTAGGTTTCTTCGGTGATCCCTATAAAAACAAATGTATGCGTCAATAAAAGATACAGATTTTAATTTATTTTCTTTTTGTGGTGAAAGAGCACTGAATATAAATTTACATACAAACATGCATTTGTGGAATCACTTTTACTGTTGCTTATATGCAAAGAGAGCTTTCTGCAGGTGCCCTCGGTTGCCACAGTGTGTTGGACTGAGTGGTGGCTTCGTGATCCTTGCCTCGTTACTCTTGTTCAGGGATCGCACTATCCACGGTTGCTCAGGCACTGGGAAGATGCAAAGGCTCCTCAGAGAACCTCATACCAGCCATTAGAGAAAGCGAAACACCCTTTACTTTAAGACATGCTGTCTTTGTGAATCACTTCACTCTTCCTGCATCCAGCCCTAAATCTAAGATTCTTGAGTTTATTCCACAATCCACGTGTCCCAAGGCAGTAATATTGTCAACTGAATCAGAAAACAGCTGTGGTAGTTGTCCGTTTCTCTCCCTTCACTTAGATCTCTCTGCAGGTTACATGTTGGAGATTCATGCATCTGGTTAAAAAAAACTACCAAGCAGCACTTCGTGACTAGGCCAGATCCCTGGCATGTGGTTTTGGAGCATGGTGCTCATTAGGGTGAAGCCTGGAAAGACAGAAAGCTCCACTTTCATATTTTTACATTTCTGAGTTCAAAGCTGGCTCTTTATGGAGCTACTTCTCTGGTACAAACTAGGTGGCTTCGTGATCCTTGCCTCGTTACTCTTGTTCAGGGATCGCACTATCCACGGTTGCTCAGGCACTGGGAAGATGCAAAGGCTCCTCAGAAAACCTCATACCAG